TCTCTTAATTTGTTCATTAGAACTTCTTTAACCACAAAAGTAATTTTTAAATTTTTAATAATTTGCTCCTTTTAGAGGTACATGACAGTAGAGTATATTTTGACATATTATAACCACATGGAGTCTAACTTATTATAATTAAAATCCCATTTTTGTGTTTATACATGATGTGGAGTTAAACTTGTATTCATATATGAACATAGGAAAGTTATGCCCAATTAACTCTAATGTGTTTTCTATTCCCATTCACTCCCTTTCTTCCATTCCCCTTTGTCTAATCCACTGAATTACTATTTTTCCCTCTCCCTCCTTATTGTGTGTTTCTCTTTGCATATCAGGGAGAACTTTTGGTGTTTGTTTTCTTGGGGGGACTGGCGTATTTTACTTAGCATGATAGCCTCCAGTTCCATTCACTTACTGACAAATGCCATAGTTTAATTCTTCTTTATGGCTGAGTAACATGCCATTGTTTATATATATTTTTTGTGGTGCTGAGGATCAAACCCAGGGCCTCACACATGCAAGGCAAGCACTCTACCACTGACCTACACCCCAGCCCACATGCCATTGTTTTTTTATACCACATTTTCTTTATTCATTCACCAGTTGAAGGGCATGTAGATTGTTTCAATGGCTTAGTTATTGAGAATTGAGCTGCTATAAACATTGATGTGGCTGCATCACTGTAGTATGCTGATATTAAGTCTTTTGGGTATATAACAAGGTGTTGGATAATTGGGTCAAATTGTGGTTCCATTGTATGCTTTTTGGGGAATTGCCATACTACTTTCCAGAGTGGTTGCACAATTTGCAGTCCCACCAACAATGAATGAATGTATCTTTTTCTCTACATTCTTTCGGACATTTATTATTATTTGTATTCTTGATATTTGCCATTCTGATTGGAGTGAGATGGAATCTCAGTGTAGTTTTGATTTGATTTCTCTAATTACTAGAGATGTTGAATATTTTTTCATATATTTTTATTTATTTATTTAAAGAGAGAGTGAGAGAGGAGAGAGAGAGAGAGAGAGAGAGAGAGAGAGAGAGAGAGAGAGAGAGAGAGAGAGAGAGAGAAAGAGAATTTTTTAATATTTATTTTTTAGCCCTTGGCGGACACAACATCTTTGTTGGTATGTGGTGATGAGGATCGAACCCGGGCCGCACGCATGCCAGGCGAGCGCGCTACCGCTTGAGCCACATCCCCAGCCCTTTCATATATTTTTAAACCATTCTTATTTCTTCTTCTGTGAAGTGCCTAGTCAGTTCCTTTGCCCATTTATTGATTGGGTTATTTGGGTTTTTGTTGTTAAAGTTTTTGAGTTCTTAATATGTCCTGAAGATTAACACTCTATCTGAGGTGCATGTAGCAAAGATTTTCTCCCCTTCTCTAGGGTCTCCATGTTCTTAATTGTTTCCTTTGCTGTGAAGAAATACTTAGTTTCATATCATCCAATTTATTGATTCTTGATTTTACTTTTTGTGCTTTGGGAGTCTTGTTGAGGAAATTGGTTCCTAAGCAGGCACTGTTCCTGTCCATGTGGTATGACATGGGTGTAAGCCTGAGACTTTCCCTCTAATCTTTCTTAGACTCAAACCCATAACCCCCTGACATCCACACCATTTATCACTCTAGTGAGTGTGCCCCTTTATAAAGAAAACACCCTTGTAATTCACTTTGCAGAGCCCCAGCAAGGTAAAATTTCCTCTTCTATGCTCAGAATATTTCTAGGTTTGGGCACCAATGATCCAGTGAAAAGTATAGCCTATGTAACTGGTTTTGGATGTTTCAAGGTAACTCTGTTGGAGATAACAAGTTCTGTGTTCAGCCAAAGACTCCTATGTTTTGTCCCCAATAAACACAACCCAAACTTTTCTGAATTCATGCTCTCCAGTTGCAGACATGTTCATTAGAATCTATTTTACTTAAGTTCATTAGGGAAGTGACTTTCTTCTTGGAGAAGGAGAGCTTTCCCCTCTCTCACTTTGATACAGTGTGCCTGACACTGCAACCATCTGTTACCTTTATTTATTATTTTCCTATTCTTGGGACCAATACTTTTGGTTTTCTTCTGAATACTAGATCACCAAGTTGCCACCATATTATGCTCCTGCCAATACTCATTTCCCTACTTCAGTTTGTTGCTGCAGAACTACTGCTTTAAATCATTCTTGGAGAGCTGCTGCAGCATTGGGGTTTCCTTTGAGCCACTATCTTCCTTTTTCTATATATTTTGATACATAAGTTTGATTTACAGGCTTGACATGTCAGACCTAAGTCTTAAACTTAGTGAGGAAATGTATGTCAAATATAGTTGATGTACACATATGAAGGGATACAGTGATGGTTTCTTATAATTAATAACCTACCTTTTATTTAAATCTTTCCTTTGGGATACATTTTTTTTCTTTTTTATTAAAGAGAGAGTGAGAGAGGAGAGAGAGAGAGAGAGAGAGAGAGAGAGAGAGAGAGAGA